TTTTTTTTTTTTTTTTGTTTCAGTGTAAAAATAAAAAATTTACACTGAAAATAGGTGTACACTGAAACTATAAGGTGAAAACCTAATCCATTTAAATGGTATATTTAATTCTAGTATTTTTGTTTTTGTTTTTCGCTGTACAAATAAATAAATTTAAATTGAACTATAAAAATAAATCATTTTAAAAAAATCTAATTAAGACCTTAAATTTTTTTTATTATACATTTATATTGGATATTATTGTGTGGAGTATTGTTTTAAGGTGTAATTTGACTATTACATAACACTAATATTTTACCCGTGCGATGCGCGATATGAAAAATTTAAGTATAAATGTTATGGTCTCATATCAATCGTTATTTTGACTATAAAAAGTTAAATTAGTAATAATAAATAAAACTAATCAAAATTACAAATTCTTAAAAAAATTATTAAAATACTTAATAAAAATTACAAATTATTAAAAAGATAGTACATATCTTAAAATCAAAGTCTTTATTCATCTTGCAAAAAAATCGGCCCAAAACCAAAAAAAAAAAACGGAGTGTTATGTTGTGCAACCGTGTGCACCATATTGCAAAAACGACATCGTTTTGACGTCCGCCTTTAAAAAAAAATTAGTTTCGATTTTCGTTAACGTCGTTTTGTTGTGTATAATTTAAACTATATAGTTCATTCATTTTGGATATATAGTTCATTCATTCTGGATATATATTTCATTCATTCTTGATATATAGTTCATTCATTCTGGATATATAGTTCATTAAAATGAGAAATTACCCTATAGCAAATTTTATATTTATATAAGTTATAATTCATGTAATTATTCCATCCATTTTTTTTTTTTTAGTTTTATGGTTATAAGTATTTAAAATTTCTTAGTTTTATATTTATACAAGTTCAAATTTTTTTAGTTTTAAGTTATAATTTATTAAATTATTCCATCTTATTGTTGGACTTTTTTGTTTTTTTCTAAAAAAAAAAATCAGTATTTAAGCATAGTTAGTGATATATAGATATCTTTTGGGTTAGTAGTTCATACTCAATTAACAGATAGCCGAAGGAGCGTGGAATGCCGCAGAAAGAAGAAAACGTAGAGAGATTATCGGCAATCGTATTTGAGTGAGAAGTTGCGCAATAATAATGGATTAGGGTTAGGAATTTGCAGACTTGAGAAGCTGTACAATAATAATGAGTCTAGGGTTTGTTATTTGGGTTTTGTTTTGGTTTTTTTTTTTTTTTTTTTTTTTTGCGCAAATTACAAATTATTAAAATACTAATCAAAATTACAAATTATTAAAAAGTTAGTACATATCTTTTTTTTTTTTTTTTGTTGATAAAAGTTAGTTCATATCTTAAAATCAAAGTCTTTATCCATCTTGCAAAAAATCGGCCCAAAAAAAGGGAGCGTTATGCTGTGCAACCGTGTGCACCATGTTGCAAAAACGACATCGTTTTGACGTCCGCCTTTAATTTTTTTTTTTTTTAGTTTCGATTGTTGTTAAAGACGTTATGTTGTGCATAATTTAAACTATATAGTTCATTCACTCTGGATATATAGTTCATTCATTCTGGATATATATTTCTTTCATTCTGGATATATAGTTCATTCATTCTGGTCTCTGGATATATAGTTCATTAATTCTGGATATATAGTTCAAATTATGCACAACATAACGATGTTAACGGCAATCGAAACTGATTTTTTTTTTTTTTTAAAGTCTGACACGCGTTTTTAATCAAAACGACGCCATTTTTGCAACTGTGTGCACCATGCATGGTGCACACGGTTACACGGCATAATTTGCACAAAATAACAAAACAACACCCAAATAACAAACCCTAGACCCATTACTATTGTACAACTTCTCAAATATGCAAATCCCTAACTCTAATCCATTATTATTGCGCATCTTCTCACTCAAATACACTTGTCGATAATCTCTCTACGTTTTCTTCTTTCTGCGGCATTCCATGCTCCTTCGGCTATATGTTAATTGAGTGCGAACTACTAGCCCAAAAGATATCTATATCTCACTAACCATGCTTAAATACTGATTTTTTTTTTTTTTTTTTTAGAAAAAAAAAGTCTAACTGTTAGTGTTTTATTTGCTCAAAAAACCCCAACTTATAATTGGCAATATTATTATGGCATACTAAGATAGGATTCAGCTTAGAGTCTGTTTTGGTCTACGAAGGACTGATCAATCAGAGACACCAACAGAGGGACTGACACTGAAGATCTGTTTTAGGAAGCTGTTTTCTATAAGGCTGTACGCGGTATGAGCAGACAAGTTTGGAAAGAAGATCAGCGTATTTTTTCGGGAAAGGTATGGACCTAATCTTCAAAGATTATATTCCTAAATTACAGTCCTACCTTCTACAATCAAAGATATCTATGGAGAGTGTTTATTGATGGAACTATAAGTACTCTTATTCAACGAGAATTAGGATTACGCCTTTTGAGACTGAAGAAACACTCCATATGGTTTTATGAGATCTCATCTTTGATTCGACTGCACCTTCTCAACACAATATGTGTATGGTGATTATGATGATGAACATGAGAAGGATTTCTGCTGCTTAAACGAAAGGACACTACGATCACACAGTTGTGGGAACAACTGAACAGAGCGTCACTGAAGTGGACTGCATCAGAGTTGGCTCTCCAAGTGAAGGGATTTCCTTGGACTTCTGGATGCGTGGCTCTCCATCTTCAACAATCCACTAAACCCGTGTAGATTGGGTACGTACCTTGTGTGGGGCACTAGGGTGAGATTATTGTTTCTCTACCTTTGTACATTGGATTATGATTTAGTGGATTGGACGCCTATGTGATCGTCTCCCAGACGTAGATACACACTGTATCGAACTGGGTAAACATCTTGTGTGTTGTGTTATCTCTTTCTTTTTACTCTTACTGTGATCTATCTTACTGGCTGATCTCATCAACAAATCAGTCATTCGAATTCGACAGTCTAAATACATTAAACTTGACTAAGAATGAGAAAATGCAAAATTACATGTGGTATCAGAGCTTTTAAGTCTACGTAGTGACTTGATCCTTACGGGAATTTTATTTGCATTAGTCTCTTTCTTTTGGCTGTCTTTCTGTGTCCTTGTTGGCTGGTCTTCTGTGTTTAGGATGGATGCAAATATGAAACCCCCTGAACTAGATGGTCACAACTACTCCTTCTGGAAGGCTCGCATGGAAATCTACCTTCAAGCACAAGGTACCAGGGTCTATCGAACTGTTTTATCTGGTTGGAGCAAACCAACGACTCAGAATCTTGATGGAACTACTGGAGAAAAACCCATTGAAACCTGGACAGAAGATGAAATAAATGCCTCTGATCTGAACAACAAAGCTTTGAACTCTATTGTTGGATCTCTGCATGAATCTGTTTTTACTCTCGTTACGGGACTAAAAGAAGCCAAGCGAGTATGGGAAATACTGGAAACGAGATTTGAGGGCACTAGTGATGTCAAACAATCAAAACTGCAGATGGTTTTGTCAGAATTCGAAGCTCTCAGAATGAACGAAGAGGAAACTATTTCAGCTTTTCACAGCCGGGTACAGAATCTTATGAATAGAGCTGCTATTCTTGGTGAACCTTTCACCGATGAGAGAGTTGTCAAAAAGATCCTTCGATCCTTACCCAAACGCTTTCGAATGAAAGTAACTGCTATTTAGGAACATACAGGATGGGAAAAGAAGAGTGTGGGAGAACTCATGGGAAGTTTACACACATACGAACTTGAAGTTCTGGCGGATGATGATCCTGTTTCTAACAGAAAAGGCAAGTCAGTTGCGTTTGTGGCCGAAGCTGATCGAGAGTCTGACATAGATGATGAAACTTTGGCTCTTCTGACCAAGAACTTTAAGAAAATTCAGAAAGGCTTCAACAAAAAAGGTCAAGGACAATCTACCAGATCACAATACAAAGGTAGTAACTTCTCTTACCAGAAAACTGAAACCGCACCGTTTTCCCAGAACACTCAGCCTCAAACTGTTCGGACAAGGCAAAACAGAAACAGTACCACAGATACATGCAGATCTCTCAACCGATCAGTGCAATGCAGAGAATGTGAAGGTTTTGGGCATATACAGGCTGAATGTGCAACGTATCTCAAAAGGAAGAAAGCTATGTCAGTCGCTACACTAAGTGATGATGAGGAGGAACATACAAATGATCAGTCAGACGACAATGTAGGAAATTTTGTAGCTTTCTTTACAGTTACAGATAATCAGTCAGATAATAACGAATCTGATGAAGAGTCCTACATCTCTACTGATGATTTTGAGGAGAGGCATACTCAGCTGGAAGTAGAATTTGCCAAACTTGTTGCAAGTTGGGAACAACTGGTGAAAGTCAACAAGAATCTGAATGAAGAACTGAGACTGAAGGATGATCTTCTGAAGAAACTAAACACAGATCTTGTCCTAAAAGAAGACCTTATAACTCAAATAAGATCCAGAGAAGGAAAACTGATAAAAGAATTGGATGATTTGAAGAAAAATATTAAGATGATGGATACCACGTCAACCTTAGACAAAATACTGGATTCAGGCAGAAATTCGAATGATAAAAAGGGTCTTGGATTTGAGCGAGGTGAGTCTTCGAAGAGTGCTCCTGTGTTCATCAAAGAAGGATTGTCAAGTCTGTCAGTTCCGAAATCTGGTTACAGTTATGATAAACGACAGTCTGGTAAATCAGTTCAGGAAGAATATGAGAGGAATGGATACAATCAACCAACAGGCAATAACTTCGGCAGAACTGCTCCTAAATCTCAGTACTTAAAATTTAAAAATAAGTTCGTTCGTGTTAAACAATATACTCCTACCTGTCATTACTGTCATGGAAGGGACTCGATCTTCAGAAAACTGCTATGTGTTGACAAATGAGATTGCCTGTCATTTATCAAAATCTGATGAATCGAAACTCTGGCACAGACGACTGGGTCACATAAACTTCAGAGACATGGATAAAATGATCAGACTAGATGCTGTAAGGGGAGACATGGCACACGCCCGCCGGAAACCCAAGCGTTTTGCTCTTCTCCGATATCCTATAGTACAGCTCCCCAACCGTCGCGCCGGATCCGACCCACGCCGTCTTTTTCACAGTATCCACGACGACTTTATTGAAATTGATCAGATCAAGAACCAAGAACGGGCTCTGAATCTTCTGATCAGCCTGCTTGGTGGGCGTCGTGTACGACAGCCCTTCGTAGTCATGGCCGCTGCGAATTCGGACCTGGATGTTTAGCTCCGCCACGCAAAGGATCACCGATTGCACCTCGGGTTCTTCCCGGGGTGTTATCACGGAGAAGGGCTTCGGAGTGTCCGAGGAATTGAAGCGGGTGTTCTTGACCGGGTACTGTAGGACGGATACGAACAAGGAGTTGTCGGGGGTGTATATGTCGTTGAAAATGGCGGTATGGTTTTGTGAGTTGCGAATCAAGCATTGTTTCAGGGCTTCGTCGATATACGCTAAAGCTTGATGGTTGGAGTACGATGATAGACAAAGCAAAGAGACAAAGAGAAAACAAAGCGTATTTGGATTCTTCATTTCTTTGATTGATGAAGAGATAAGACGAAGGAAATGTATGGATATCGTGCATGGTTTTATAGTCCCTCTTAGCTTGCACCAAATATAATTAAGTGAATATTGTCACGTTTATGGTTACGGTTTCGAATTGAGCCATTAATGGGATGGGATATATTTACCCAAAAAAAAAAGGGATAGATGGGATTTATTTACGAAAAAAAACAAATGGGATGGGATTTATTTACCCAAAAAAAAAAAAAAAGAATTGGGATGGGATTTGAATATTATGTGAATGTAATCTATTGGGCAGAAGTCGGTAAATAGGGCTGTTAACGAACCGAACATAAACGAAGGAAAGTTGTTTGTGTTCGTTTGTTAAGAATTTTGAAGTGTTTGTGTTCGTGTTCGTTTGTTAAGGTTGTTTGTTAAGATTTTTGAAAATCATGTTCGTGTTCGTTTGTTAAGCGTTCATTAGTGTGTGTTAACGTTCGCGAACACGTTCACGAACGTGTTCGTTAACGTTAACAAACATGTTCACAAACATGTTTGTTAACAAACACGTTCACAAACATGTTGGTTTCCGTTCATGGATGAGAATATAATTGTGTTGTATTCAATAATAATGTCTGAGAGTACAGGGAGCGAATATATAGAGATGCTAGATAGAATCCTAGTCTAACACGAATAATATAGTCCTAGTCTAATATGAATAATATAGTCCTAATACTCCCCCTCAAACACAAGGTTGGCTAGCCAAAACATTGAGTTTGTCACGGAAAGAGTTAAAACGAAGAGACGACAGAGACTTTGTGAAAATGTTCGCTAGTTGATCCTTGGTTGAAATAAAGTGCACTTCTAACTCCTTTTTGGCTACTTTATCGCGAACAAAATGATAGTCAATCTCAATGTGTTTCGTGCGAGCATGAAAGGAATTGTAACGTGCTCCATGGATGGTGCACACAGATGCACAGCATAACGAATCGGGAATTATGTGGGAAAGAAATTGTAATTCCATGGGAGATGAATTACTGGGAATAAAGTAGAAATTTAAATTCCAGTGTTTGGTTTACAGGAATAGAATTACTGTGAATTTCAATTCCAATGTTTGGTATACATGGGAATTGAAAGGGAATAAGTAGTATAAAATCCAAAATGCCCATTGTTAATAATAATAATAATAATAATAATAATAATAATAATAATAATAATAATAATAATAATAATAATAATAATAATAATAATAATAATATTATTATTATTATTATTATTATTATTATTATTAAATGACAAATATTTCTTGGACCCATTTGCATATTCAAACACCAAAAAATATAAAATATTAAATTCAAATATCAGTCAACTATCGTATCTCTTGAACTAGATATATTGTAATTAAATTTCATGCAAATACTTCATCAAATGTTAAGCTTTATAAGCTCATATCAGGAAAAAAATCATAAAAATAAAAATACACAACCTAATTAAACATAATAAAATGTTAAGCTTAGGTTGTAAAAGCTTAAATCCAAAAAAATATAATAGGAAGGGTTCATCCCGGAGAATTCAACACCCACATCCCCAACCTTCAATTTGTTGCAAGAAATGCTTTTATCCATTCTAATCTTCGATGTGGTGGAAGGCTAAAAAATACAAGCATTTAATTTGGGTGGTCAGGAAGTTTGATCAAAGCCATCAAGTACTCTGCATTGGACAACCCATCAACTTGACTTAACTTGGAGTGTAATTGATGCACTTTTTCTTGAAGAGTTAATTCTGTTCCAATGCTCTTACTTATTTTATCTCCAACCATTACCAATGTATAACATAAAAATTTAAAAATACTTTGAGAGTTTTGAGAAAACGTACTTGATTAAGGTCGACCTAGAATGATTGTTTTACATGAAGTCGGGAACGACTATCTCTCTTGATCGTAAAATAATACACGGCTACATCTAGAAGGGAAGGTCAGGCATTAATTTTAGGTTAAAAAAAAAGGAGGGTAATTTTGTCTCAACACTATCTTTTTTTCTTCCTAAAATCCATGGAATTAAAATCCCCAGGGGGGAGGGGACATGAGATTTTAATTCCATGAAAATGGAGAAATTGCAATTCCTTCCAACCAAACTAAGGATTTTAATGGCCTTTGGAATTAGGTGGGAGTGGATTTTAAATTCCCCCCAACCAAACGCCCTGTTAGTGCGTGGCTAAGAAATTGTTGAGTTGAGATCGGTAAAGAGTCAAGTCCATCATATTATTTTTCAAAAATATGATGGCGGTCTATAAGAAAATAAATTAAAATTGCTTCTTCGTTATAACTTGGTGTAATGGTAAATGTTTGATCCTAACATACTATACAATTTATGACTATAATTTTTTATTTAGTTTCCTTAGCTTAATAAAGTGGGAAAGGTACCAATGGTATTTATTTTGTATTAATGTCATTATTATTCAATATAGAGGTGGTTTGGTAAGTGGTTTACTCTCTCACCAATTAAATTACTAAAAAAAACTAATTTTATGGGATGTGTTTAATTTGATGGGAAAATTAAATTAATTGACATGTTCTCAAATATGCACCTATTACATGCAAACAACAAAGGGCTACAAAAAGTAGTCATTGAATATATTGTATACATTCTTGATTATTCTCGGTAAAAGAATTCGACCACCGTTAGCTCGAATAACTTTTTCCCTTTTAAAAATCACACTTTTAATTGGCACAAACTTTTTTAAGTCACTGTAATATACAATCAAGATTGCAAAATATGTTAGGCACTAGTCGAGCACCAAAGGCTCGCTTAGCGTGTGAATTATATTCTATTAGCATACAATATAAATGGTGAAAGAAAATTAAAGCTACATTTACTCTTCCACCTGCCATGCATATATTAGTAGGGTATATCCGTATATATATACTAGTTCTTTCTATGTGCGATGCGCAAAAACATATGTCCAATATTTATATTATTTAAAGTAACTAATAAATCCCTACTAATCAAAATTATATAAAATTAAATTTATTTATTATAATAATCCAATATATAATGTCTACAAAAAAAATATAAGAAAATATATGGTGGATGGATGTGCATGGTAACAATAATGAAAAAGATAATGGAAGGGGTAATTTTGTCCAAAAAATTATATAGTACAACTCTAAAAGCACAATGTACAAAATGATTAGCATTAAAAACATGGACATAAATGAGGGATATAACTTTGATTGAGACATATTATGTTTTTAGATTAGATATATATATATATATATATATATATATATATATATATATATATATATATATATATATATTACACATATCTTTAGGATTGAAAAAAATTAATTAAATAAAAAAATAATAACTTGACACTCGGTTGACTTGGTCGATTTTGCCAAGTTAACTCAGCCGATTGCGCCAAGTTAGGCGCCTAGTCGACCGGCTAGGCAGCCGGCCGACTAGGTGGCTCCTAAATGTTAAATCGTCACCGTTGGGTGGTGCCTAACGGCTTGCGCCTAGGTGTGATTTTTACAACACTGATTACAATATTAATAACTTCCTTCTTTATTCGATTCTATCTAAATATTTATTTTTATTTTTATTTTATGCCAGGTTACAGTAATATCATGGCAGTGTTTTATTTTATTTTATTTTTTTAATAGTTATTTTTATTATAATTATTTTCGTATATATTTTGAAGTATTTTGTAGAAAACGTAATCTCATTGAATTATTATGTGGTCAATACCTTTGAATACGAACTTTCATTTATTTGCATGCGTGATATTATCTTTTGATTGAATATGCTTTTTATTCATGTGGGGTCACATTTGTGATATATTCGTAAGATAGGTCAGGTCGGATCAATATTAAATGTAATATTTATATTGAAAAATGTAATATTAATAAGGAATAAATTAAAGTGTTTGTTTTTAGAAAAAATATATAATACTTTTGAGTAAAAATATAATACTTTAACATTTTGATGTAAAAGTATTACATTATTCATCAAAAGTATTACATTATCCCTTATAAATAATGTCGGCAAGTGTTTGTTAGTTGTTACTTATAAGAGAAAATGTAATACTTTTAAGAAAAAAATATAATATTTTTAATCAAAATGTAAAAAAATTACATTTTTTTCTTCAAAAATATTACACTCTCCCTAAGTAATAAATACTTAATTCTTGATTATTATTACATTTTTTAGTATAAGAATTACATTTCATCTTGATCCAACCTGTCTCACAAACAAAGACTCGTGAGATGGTCTCACACAAGTTTTTGTCTTCATGTAGATATCATTATCCTAACTATTAAAATTTATTGAACGGTTGATATTGTTGTTCAGCAGATCAGAGGTTAATATGACCGAGTTTAATATATTGCTATTGAAATGAAATGTATGTTGAAATGAAATGTGGCGTATTAATAAGAGCCCAAAGAAGTTAGGTTGTATGTTTCAACGTGCTAAGATCCACTAACAGTTGAACTACCGGCAGCAGACGACGCACAGAAGCTTAGGCTTGAATCAAGCTTTTCCAGTCTCATAGTAAGGTTCAAGAGCGACGATGTCCTTAGGTGCGACGATGTGACGTCACCAATAGTTCAACGAATATACACCATCAACGTTAGGAATGTGTACCACAAAAACACATACAAATTAGGTACGCATCACCAAAACCACACCATTAGGTGTGAGTAAAAACACCATACAGTGTTCGGAAATACACCATTGGGGTGTGGTGAGTTATATGGTGTATTTTTTTGGGTCTGTTGTTTATTTTTTGGTGTTTTTTGCATTTCATTGTGGTGTGTTTCCCTTACACTGTTGGTGCATGTTGTTAACACTGTTGGTGTATTCTGAAATTCCGCCGCACCTAAGGACATCGCTGCATTTGAACTCCCCCCCCACCCCCCCCCCCCCCCCACACACACACACAAATTCCAATGATCATCATTATCTTTCTAAAAATTATCTTTCTAAACCTACTTACCATTCTAACTCCTACTCCAAATATATAAG